GATACCATCTTCATAATGAGTAAATATATCTCCGACTTAATTTTCACAAGACTAAAAGATATCATCAGAAGTAAACATTAATGAAAAATGTGTTTAACAATCATCAGAAAAGCAATACTTTGCAATTTATGTATAAGGATCTATCACTACATTTATTTCCTTAATTGGTTTGAGGCAAATCATAGTATATTTTTTATTATTTTCACTCAATTGAAAACTTGGTTACAATTTCTATTATAGAAGTAAGAAATACTTTAATTTCGCCCTATTCGCGATTTCTACAAATCTCACATAATTAGGGACAAGAAATACATTAGCCATCCTCTTAGGTTCTTATTGGAGTATTAAAATAATTTAGAGGACATTTTTAACAAATAAAGTTTTCATAAGATTTTTCACATTTTAAACAATCTTAGCTGCATTATTTAGCACATTAAGAAAAAATTGATAGGTCATATCCTTAGGTACATTTAGTAGGCATAGCAACAATATCTGACGTGTATGTAGTTCTTAGTGGATAATAATAATTGTTTGGCAAAAATCTCATCATAAAACTCTAGATAAACCATGACCATGCATCATTTTCATAAAAGTCTCCATCCATAACAATAATTGCATTATCTATCTTATATTAAAAACATGTTCCTGTTTGAATTGAATTCTTGTAACCAGGTTCGCAGATAATACATTGAATTTTTTCATCTGGAGTTAAGAGACACTACTGGCAATTTTTTTAATATTTTTAACAATTTATAATTTCAGGGGCAATCGAAAAGTCTGAAAAAGAAGATAATGTGCAAACTGACTAACCTTAAAAATTGATGTAAGATCTTAAACAATTTGTTATTTAAGGCTTTTGGTATAGACACAATCCCTAATTGAAATCAAAAATGTAGTTTTCTTTACATAAAGCACAACCAATTTATATTCTTTCATCATTAATAAATTCTTCGAAATCCTTATATAAGGTGCATCTGATTTAAGATTCATTTTATTGAAATTCAAAACAATATTTGCAATTGTCTATTGGACACAACTTACATTCAAAAGTTGAAGAAATATAATAAGGAGAAACACAAGTATTTCTAATATCGGAGTTATCATAAGTACAAAATCCATCAGTCAAAACTGCCTAATAAGTACATCTTGAGCATTTGAAACCTGATTCCGAAACATAACATTATTAGCAAGCAAATAATTGGCATTTATAACAGTTAGGCAACTCATTAAAACATAGATTTTTGAAGTTCTCATTTATTACTGAAAAGTCTGAAAAAAGGTTCTCAATACTATCAATGCCTGTATTTTCACAGTATTAGCAATACTAAATACTACTAATTCCATCAAAAACAAAATGATCATTAGATTCATCATAGAATGATTTGTCAATATCTCCATTAGGACTTACATAGATGTGGGTTTTACATTATGGGTCTTTACTCCATTATCCAGGATTTCTGAGACACTCCAAACATGTTATAAAGTCTTCACGAATAATCGATGGGCTAATTATAAATTTTATTCGTACCATTTACAACATTCTTGATTATATTAAAAATAACCGTATTTACATTAATTCCATTATTAAAATTATTAAAGAATTATTAATTTTGAATCTTAATAGGAATGGCAAATTCCAACATCAATTGTATGAATAGGACAAATACAAGCTTTTTGTTCATTTAAATATGATCTATTTGAGTCAATTGGACAAGATAGGCAATCTCGATTTGTTGGCCCATCACAATCTTGACAACTTAAATGGCATATTTATTGTGTGAATAAATCTTCACAAATTGTAAAAGTAACATCTCTTATTTATATTTTTAAAAAGTTAGTCTCAAGCTATTAGCAATTACCATAAAGAAGTTTAAACTAATTCTATTTAAATTATAAAAAAATAATAGATTCTTGAAATTCATAAACATTTTATTTATCAAGAAATTTTATTTAAATATTCATTTTATTCTCCTTCACTTGTATTTAAAAGTTGTGCCATAAGGTGAGATCGTTTATAACATCAAATTCAGTGATAATAAGAAAAGGATTATCTAAAAAGTCTAATGTAACAATTGGAAATGTATAACTATATGTGGTTATTATTATTTTATTTGTTACTGATGATATCTTATAAGATAATGTTAAGGGGGACAGATTTAAATTCGAAAACTTTTAGTTCTCGTAATTTAAACCTAACTTAATAAATTAATATTCAAAGCCATCATCCAAATTTATAATTTCTTGAATTCTAATCCATCCAGATAAAAAAAAAGAATCACAATTCAGATTTTCCGAAATATAAGTTCCATAATCAAGATAATCGAGATCAGAATCAGCTATTTTCTTTTTATTGTTTTCCGTGCACTAACAATATGTATTTTTTCCCAATACTATTTTTGCTGATTCAACCAGACTCAAACCTGGCGAAATGCCTTCAATTTAAAATTTTCGTAATACAATTGACCCAGGAAAATAGGAAAATTTAGTACCATATTATATAGATTCTATTTTAGAATCAAGTACAATCAAGCTACCTCCAAAAGTTAATTGTATTTCTTAATCTTAATAAGGATAAGACATTGAGAGTATGTCAAAATGCAAGACTTCAATGAGTGAGAAAAGAATAATTTCTAATTAATTTAGTTTAGGAGTTCCAGAGATCCCTAAAAAATACCACACATTCTCATAATTAAAAATTTCTAACTAAACCTGAATTTTATGCTATTCATTATTATTATTAATGAACTCAAGTGTTTTCGAAATTGTTTTCGATTCATAATCTAAAAAATCGTAATATATTAAATTCAAACTTTGATTATCTATTTAATATGCGTTATGAAGCTAAAAGCAATTGCTTTCTTATAATCCAACAGGACCTACTTGTGATGTAATACTGAGAGGGTTATATTTTGACCAAATACCATAACTAAAGCCATCTTTCCAGGTAAAATTATCATCCTTAAAATAAACTTAAGTATGTAGCACTTAATAAAGAGGATCTAATGGCATAACTTAGATCTATATTATTAAGTTTAAGATTATGAGTAATCTCATTATTTTTTATTTATTTAATTATTTGCAGAATAATAAAAAATCATTCTTATTAATACCATTTAAGACTATTTTATCAAAGACATTTTTAATTAAAACCCTCAATATATTTTGAAATTTAAAAAATTCTCCTATGAGACTGAGTTTTATGCAACATCATTAATATATTCTAGGTAAACGGTATTTAATAATGCAAGTGTTTTTTTAAGTTTACCTTTATAATAATTCTCTAGTATATTAATAATGATGTCAAATAAATTTATGGTTAAGGAACAAAACAATGAATAATAATCCAAAAAAGCCAATAAAACTGAAAGATTTATTTTAATGAAACCTTTATTATTATCCTGATAACTTTAATTTATAGCGAAATTGCATGACAAAGTTAAGAGAAAGCAAACGTTCAATTAAAAACTTTTTTAAAATAAGATCGTTTACATATCATTTGAGCAGCAAACAAACTCCTTATTGTTTGTAAATTAAAACTTATAATCTATATTATCATGTAACCAAAATTTTAAAAGATACTCATTGCCTTGATCATAATACATCTTTCAAGTTCTTCAATGAGTAAGTTAAAGCATATATCAAAGAGGAAAGAGCAAGAAGAGAACATTGGTGAATTCTCTTAACATCGTAAGCCATTGATAGTCAGATTGATAAAAATACAATAATCAATATAATCATTCTACAGCATATATTTCATCCTCAAGGAGCATTTCTAATTATCTTTCTAACATTAAAAAGGGTCCCATGTTCTAACCATGTTACAGAAAATAGATGAATCCATGAATAGAGAGACTATTCTTTTTTAAGCTTTAGTTTTTAAATAATCTGATCAATTCTGAAAATGTATTCAAGTTTCCCCAATCTTCATTACAAAACCCCATCAGAGTGAAGAAAAATTTATTAACCTGCAAAGCTTGACTACATCCTAAAATAAAACTTTCTTGGATTATGACAAATACTTAATAGATTTTCCTGCCGGCGATCTTTAGAATAAAATAATTTGAAAGTATCAATAGAGCTTAAGGATTTTTTAGAAATTTTCAATGTAAAGTGGACCAGAGTCCCCCCCCTCCACTTTTAAAAGACTCCCAATACTTATTAAGTAAATGAGTGTTGATCACAAAAGTCTTTGGAAGATATCTTCTTATTGAACATCAAATTATTAGGAAAATAGTTTATGGTCTGAGAATTAAATAGATTTATTCTAAAATAAATTGTGATTCTAGTACCATAAAAGGAATTGTATGGAAATTTTGCTAAATCAAAATAATTTGGAGAGCTATTGCTGCGATACTGAGTAAAGTTTCTTCTTTATTTATCACTCAAATTTCTTAGATGATACTAAAAATTACAAACCTATTACAAGAAATTTATTTAATTTTTGAATGTTCTTTTGTTTATGTGAGTACCTTTATATTTTATGAAATAGCCTTAATCATCTTATAACAATTTTATTTAATTGTTTACTCAATATTTCAAACTGAATTTCTTTCTCGACTAATATTTTGGCACTTGACACTATTTCTATTTTCATTCAAATAATAGTTATTATTACCTAAACCTAATTATTGATTCAATTATTTATGCTACTTGAAGAATATATACAATTGTTTTTCAATATAAATTGAATTGTTAAATTTAAAAAATATTTTGAGCGTTTAGAAGATTGTTTAAATTGAGATAGATTCTATAGACATTCAATTTAAGTTTAGGGTTAATATTAATTTTAATCAATAAAAACTTATCTGCTTCGAACGAAGATCAAATCATAATTGATTTTCTATGAAGCAAAGTTCTAATAATAATTACTTCTGCGAATGTAAAAGGAATTTATCAGAAAAATAATTCTAAAATTGAAGAATTTATATGCAGATATTCTTTTCATGTTACATTATACTGATTTGAAATTTCTAATTGTACTACAAATCAATATATTTAATTCAAGAGGTTATAGTTGGAGGTACTTCATATACGGAGCGTTGTTTGCAAGCTGTTACCAATATAATAAAACCAAGTATGATAATGATGCCAATCAAAAATCCATAAAAAATACTGAATAAACCAAAAGTGATTCCATAAAAAATACCTAACCACCCTTTCCACCCGTCTTTCGCAAAAGTGAATTATCTTCTTTTGGGTAAAAAACCGAAAATTAATGAAGCAAAGGCTACTACAAATTCACCAATAATTGAGAATAGCCAAAATATTCTTAATGCAGTTGAAGCTTCAATCTCTTCCTCATACTTACTCTTAATTATAAATAAATATATGATGACAATAATTGATCCAAGACATAAACCACAAGAAATATTCTTTAATCCTCCTTCTTTCTAATAATCTGGCTTCTTATTTTTTTAACAATTAGATAGAAATAATCCGAATACATTTATAAATAAATTTGTTCCAAAGAAGGTCAGTGTATAAAATTCAATAGTATATTCTTCTAAATTTGACTCTCCATTTGCAAGTAAATATGATATTGCTATTATTAATTAAAACATATCCATGTATTTATATCTCTATTCTCTTTTTTCAGTTTATGATAGACCTTTTGAAAAATAAGGAAATTCACAAGTGATGACATAGACATGAAAAATAAACCATGCCCCCATTTATGCTATTAGTTCAAACCAAGTATAAGTATTTAAATCTTTTACTATAATTGTGACAACAAAAAAAATTATTCTACATACCATACCAATCAAAATATTAACATCAAGCCTATCATCATCTAGAGTTCCTAGTAAGCAGGATAATATTGCATCTACAAAATCTATTATGTTGGTGTTTTTCATAACAAATTTGTTTTAAAAACTAATTATAAAAATATTTTATTTAGAAATTTATAGTATAGTTATTATTCAGATTCTCAAATATTAATTTACTGATTTTAAAATAATAAATATAGAAGAAATAGTCAAAGATATTATAAAAAATCTGTCTAGGGATTATCAAATTAGGGTTTAGTTTTTGCTATCTAGCCACTACCTACCTAATAATATTACTATGGTCAGGCTAAGGAAGACTAACTGTAAATTTGGAGGTGGACGTTGCCATTGGCATGGAATTGTTTAATAGGCAGGGGATACATTAGGAATATGTTCTCTAATAAACAAAAACGGTATAATGCTTGAAATTTTCATTCTCATAAAAAAACGAAAATGTATAAACTATTTAAAAATTAGATATATCAGAGGGAATAATTCCATTATGTAAATCATTTAAATTTGGCTTCAAAAAAAAATTATCAAGTCTACAAAATTGATCAACTTTTAAAAAATCCTAAAATTAATCAATTTATGAAAAAAATAATAAATTCAAAAAAATTAAATTAATAAAGTGTCCAAAAAAAATAAAATTATTAATACTTCGATAATAGTTTTCAACAAAATTTTCAAGATAATTCTTTGACAACCTCAATAAAAACTTGCATTAAAAAAAAGACCAATATATCATAAAATAAAATTTAGTAAATGAAACAATATTAACTTAACAACAAATGAATTATGTAAATCATTATATTATTAAAATTATAAATGTAAAAGAAATTAATTCTTCTAAATTTAATTAGTATATAATCATATTTGTAACTTTTTTTTTATCTTCATTGACAAATTTTTATTTCAAATTTACTTGCTTCATAATTGTTAATTTAAGTTTCAGTTTTAGGTGCTTCAAAATATTTGAAATTGCTAAATAGATCAATTAATTATATAATACTGTGTGTTTAATATGCTGCACTTCATAGTAGATGAATAATCTTTAATTTCACCTGCACAAAACATATTTATGTTATTCATAAATTAATCATGTTTGTGTAAAACTTACAAAAGGTTAAGCACTATAGTTAACAAATTCTATTTTTTTTATTTTTATGTGTGCTTAAGAATTTGATATTCAAACTAACTCTAAAAAAATGTTCTTGAAACTACTATTAAAACTCAGTTCTTAATATCAACCTTAAATATTCTTCATATCAATGTTATGCATATCTATACTGAATTTTTGTGCCATGTACACTTATTAATCTTGCGCAATCTTGTTTATGATAGTTATGCATACCTTTCTTGTAAAGTCAAATTTGATAATTCCTTAAGTGGTTCTTAAATATGAGAGATCATTAACAGAGATTTGTTTAATGTTAAGGTTGTACTACTTCATCAAAATATAGCTTGCAAAGCATGTAAATAATTTCAGTTATGAATTCCTTGACAATGTCTAAAATTGTTCAAATGCTCAGCATAGATTGGGGTAACCCTGAAAGAGTTATAAATAATATAAATATCTGAACTGGTCTGCATATGGTAATAAGTATTTATATAATTACTCTAGATCATCCGAATATTGATAGGTTGTAATTTAATAAATTATCAAATAAGAACACTTTATGATGTATAAGATAATCATCGAATAATTTAAGAATATATATCCAATTTGTTTTTATATACTCTTGATTCAGAGTGAGAATTTTTACCACAATTGCAATCTCCAAATCACAACGTGATGTTCAACTAATGGCGAAAGAGTCTCCATTATCATTATAATGTTCTGCGAAAGATTTCGAATGTTTGCCGTAGTTGTGTTAATTATCAGACAGTCCAAAGAGCACAATAATTAAAATGAGATTATTCTATTGTATGCAACTTTATATGTATACTACTTAGATGCAAGTCGAAATGCATTATTGGACATTAAAATTAAATCATCATAGCAATTATTTCAAGCTATGATTATTGAAACTTTTTCATCAATATTTTAATTAGTGTAGCTTAATAACCAGTGTTAAAGTATATGACACAATCATGTTGCTTGAGTAAGTTAAAATTATGTATAATAATGATGATTTCAAATATGAAGAACAAAAAAATTAATGAAAATATTTAGATTACGCTCTTAACTTATTTGCAAATGATCCAGATTAAATTAACATAAGTAGTCAATAAAGAAAAGTTAAAGAGAAATATAAGAATGTATATGTGACATATTAGAGGCTGTTCATGATAGTTATTGTGACATTAACAATGCAATGCTCGCGTGATCAACATTAAGAAAGTTCGGATTGAAGTACTTAATCAATATATAAATGTACTTAGACTGGCACTTGTCTTTTTAGTGGACCAATCTTCGACAGATAATACATTTTAGTTTATCCATTTCTTTTATTTTAAACATAGCTTGGGATGACTATCTAAAATGATTCTAGAAGATGTAAAATTGAGCATTCCATTTGTGCACCACTTGTTCCCTAAAGCACTCAACCTTCCTTTATTTTTAGTGGCAGCTTCAAACTGAACCAATGCTAAATTGATTTTGTTTCACTAATAGAAGTTGTATTACAATTTGAGATATTACTGTTTTTATACTGCTTTCTTTATAAAACCTGACATTGTTCTCTACTAATTTCCTGTCTAAGAAGTATTAATGAGTACATATGATGATGCGTCATACGATTTTTTTAGCACTGGTGCTTTGCATATTCAAACGCAGAGTTGCATTCTAATTTTGAACTTCCGACATTTACTAGCATGTTAATGATTATGAAAATGCGCATTGTAATTAATTTCTGACTTCGTTTTACTAAAGTAGATGTTGAGTAAATCAGCAATTTTTTGAAAAGGAATGTTAAAAGGTTCGTTAAAGAAAATATTCTTAAATCTAACACCACTTGCCAGCTATTCTAATATCAGAAGAAAATTATTAAATGAAAAAAAAATTTATAGAGCTAAGAATTAAGTTTTCACGAGTTCCATGAATTTTAACTAATACTCCGTGTGGCAGCGAGCTAAGTCTCGATTTCTCTACACAAATCGCTAACATAACGAAGCCCAAGCCAACCGGAACAAAAAATTTCTAAAAAAGTTTGGACTCGATGATGTCGATGTTTTGAATTGGGAGCACATTGGAAAGTTTAGATACTTCATATGGATCCCAAAGAACACAGGCTTAACAATTTAGTATAAACCTTTTTTTTCGAGATAGCCTATCTATCCTTGGAATCAAATAATTTGATAGTCCTCCAGTTTATATCCAACTTTATACTAACTTTCGGCGATAGATAAGAATAATTGAGTAAATAGGGTATTTAGCGTTAAAGGTTGGAGGGAATATATTAGCAAGAAGAAATTTAACAAAAGTAAATCTTTGGTTTAAACTAATTTTTATATTTTAATTCTTTTGATATTCTCGATAAATAAAGATGCATAACAAAAATTATGGTGAAATCTAGAGTTCGTGTCCAACTATTCAAGACCATTGCATCTGAATTGAAAACTCCTAACCAAAACTTTCTATGCTGGGCTCACATTTATTAATCTTTAATGAGTTGTACCATATTTGTCTTTGAGATAAAGGTATAAATATATTTCCATAGCTTAAAATGTTATTTATCAACTTTGAACTACTAGGTTTAGCTAATTCTTGCTGTGATGATTATAGTTTATCATAGGACAGCAAATAGGTTTCTTTGACTAAGAATTTTTATTCCCTTTGGATTGAAACAAAATTCAAAAATCATATGATTATGTAAAAGAATTTTTAATAATAGAATACTATTTCATACAGACAGAAATAAAATGAATAATACACGCTTGATTCCTCAAGATTTCTATTTTTTAAGCTTGGAAATTATTAGGGAATTCAAATGTTGACAAAGGTTGTTCAATTTCAATTTTAATATGCAAATAAAGTTCGAGCCTGTATCAATACAAAACAGCATCTTAATTTATCATGGCTTTGGCTATGGTCATATAAGCAGCTGATTTTACACTCAAAGATAATAATTTAGTACAATTTATAATAAAAATCAATTCCCAAGTGGCGAAAAAGCGGAATTCATGAATTATAATGTTATTGATAATTATTTTTATTATTTTTATTTTATAGATAATAGTTGCTAATAATAGAGGTTATAGTATTATTGAAAATTTGGATCTACTTTTTTTGTACTAGAGATTGAAAGAGGATTCATTTCACAATCTCTTATTTTAATACTATGGATGATCTAATTTGTTTTAAAGTAAATAATTTATTTTGGAGTTCAATAATCTACATATATGTTTTATATTTACTGATTTGATTTAAAATAGAATATAAAGGATTCAGAATATTTATAAACACTAAAAATAAATTAAACTTTATTCCCGTTATTGATAATAAAATAAATAAATTACTTTAGAGGATATGATATTATTTATTCATTGATTTAATATTTAAATAATCACTATAGTTTTTTCTGTAATGGTTTAATCATAAACGACATTTATGATTTCAAGTGATGATGATTGTAGATTAATTTTTAAAGTGATAAGTTGTGGAATGCTATTTAAGACAGGAAGAGGCAACATAATTCATTAATTAAGCATTATACGGAAAGATTATTCTTTTAGTAAGGGTTGGGGTTGGTTGGGGTTTGGTTAGGGTGGGTTTGGGTTGGTTTGGTTGGG